TGTGTGTGTGTGCGCGCGCGCGCGCGCCAGTTCTGGGCTTGAACTGTTCCCTGAGTGTTTTCGCTCGAGCTAGCACTCTGCCACTTTGAGCCACAGCTCCCCTTCTGGTTTTTTTCTGGTGGTTCATTGGAGATGAGAGTCTCGCAGACTTTCCTGCCCAGGCTGGCTTCAAACCGTGATCCTCAGATCTCAGCCTCCCTCCCGAGTAGCGGAGATGACAGGCGGGAGCCATCTTGAGCGCCTAGCTCAAGCTGGAGATCTTGCCTTCTGTACCATGCAGATTTAAAGATGGCAAGGGAAGGAATGGTCCCATACCCCAGCTGGAAGTGGAAGGTGTATGGAGTCGGGAGCCTTTAGGCCTCCTGGGCCAGACCCCACTCCACCCGAGGGAGAGGCAGGCCGTGATTGACCCCTGTAGTCTCTGAATGGGCTGCCATCCTCCCAGCGGGCCGCCCTGGTCTCCCGCTAAGCCTGCCTGACCTTGGCTTTGACCTTCCTTCCTGCCCACCACCTAGGCTTTCCTGTACAGATTCCTTGGCTACACCATGAGCACCACCAGCAACCCCCAGCTGGTGAAGAAGATTCTGTGGTCGATTCTGAAGACGTCCCACGAGGAGCTGCTGGAGAGGGAGGTAAGGATGAAGAGCTTTGCGTCTTGACATAATTGGATGCTTGTAGATGAGTCACACGTGCACACACACACACACACACACACACACACACACAAACAGCCGAAAGCAGACAGCCCAAAGAACATTTGTGTGCCCTTCCCAATCAATGCCTTCCAATCTTAACATTTTCCTGTGTGCTCTCTCTGTATACATACTATCGTTTTTCTTCCTCTCCCCCGCCTTTTTTTTTGGTTTGTTCCAGTACTGAGGCTTGAACCCGGGGCCTGGGGCTGCTGTCCCTGGGCTTTCCTGCTCAAGGCTACAGCTCTTGAGCCACAGCTCCACATCTGGCTTTTGGGGCTTAGATGGAGATGACAAGCCTCCCAGATTTTCCTGCCGGGGCTGGCTTTGAACTGCAATCCTCAGATCTCAGCCTCCTGAATAGCTAGGATGACAGGCGGGAGCCACCCATGCCGGCTCAAGGCCTGGACTTTAACTTAGGGCCTGTTGTTTGCTAAGCACTTGCTCTACCACTGGAGCCCAGCCCCTACCCCTAGAGCCTGGCCCCCACCATCTAGCCACGCCCCTGCCCCTTAGACCACGCCCCAACTGGTCAAGCCACACCCATCTTGGGCCACACCCCCAATGCTTTGAG